AGAGGATGCTAAGTGAGGAGGGTGAGTGAAAAAATGGGAGGAGGAGGAGAAGGAGGGGGCGGAGGAGGAGGAGGAGGAGAGGAGGAGGAGGAAGAGGAGGAGGAGGAAGAGGAGGAGGAGGAGGAGGAGGAGGAGGAGGAGGAGTGGCGAGGACGAGCAAGGAAGCGAAGATGGAGTGAGCATGATGTGCAACGAGGGGTGCTAAGGAGGAGGAGGAGGAGGAGGAGGAGGTGGAGGAGCAGGAAAAAGGAGGAGGGGGAGGAGCAATGAGGAGCAAGGAGGAGAGGGAGGACGAGCAGGATGAGGGGAAGGAGCAGTGATGATGCTGATAATACTGATGCTGCTGATGATGATGGTAAAGCTGATGATGCTGCTGATGGTGATCATAGTGGTGACGATAATGGCGATGATACTACTAATGATGATGATGATGATGATGATGATGATGATGCTGATGATGATGATGATGATGATGATGCTGATGATGATGGCGATGATGATGCTGATGAGGATGATGATGACGATGCTGATGATGATGATGATGATGATGATGATGATGACGATGATGATGATGATGCTGATGATGATGATGATGGTGATGGTGGTGGTGAGGAGGAGGATGTCGATGATGGTGCTGAAGATGATGATGATGATGATGGCGATCATGCTGATGACGATGATGGTGATGTTGATGGTGGTGGTGATGATGATGATAGTGGTGACGATGATGACGATGGTAATGAGGATGATGATGACGACGATGCTGATGATGATGATGATGATGATGATGGTGGGGAGGGGGAGGATGTCGATGATGGTGCAGATGATGATGATGATGCTGATGATGATGATGATGATCATCATGATGATCATGATGATGATGATGATGATGATGATGATGATGATGATGATGATGATGATGATGCTGGTGATGGTGGTGATGACGATGCTAATGATGATGGTTATGATGCGGACGGTGATGATGCTAATGATGGTGATGATGCTGATGGTGGTGGTGGTGATGATGCTGACTGGTGCTGAGGCTGCTGATGATAGTGATGATGATCATGGTGATGATGATGATGAGGAGGAGGATTGGCGAGGACTAGCGAGGAAGTGAAGGCGGAGTCATCCTGAGGTGGAGCGGAAAGTGGTGGTGATGAGGAGGAGTGGGGAACAGTGATGAGAAGTGAGAAGGATGAGTATGGGTGGCGAGCGGGAACAGTGATGAAGCGGAGCGAGGGGGGGAGGAGGAGCATCTAGGAAGATGATGAGGGAGGAGAAACAGGAGGAGGAAGAGGAGGAGCAGGAGGAGGAGGAGGAGAGAAAGGAGGAGAAGGAGGAGGAGGAGGAGGTGGAGGAGGAGGTGGAGGAGGAGAAGGAGTGAGGAGGAGGAGTGCGTAGGAGCCAGGTTGGGTGGCCCACCGCATGCTAAAACGTCTGTGGATTTACATGTTCGTGGCAAGTCCACGGGCCAGCATATCGCTCGTATCGTGCTCAGCTGGCGTCTCACCTACTATGGATGTCAATTCGGCACGCGCGGGGCACGCACGCACGTTGAATATACGCTCGTTTGCAACATGGCATGCTTGAGGGCACGCGTGCGACAGCAACGCATGATTAATGTTCCCCCGTGCGGTACGCAACTTTGTTTTGCTTCGTTCTCGGTGCCGCGTCACTCCAAACCTTCCCCAATAATTCATTAGGGCATACATTCAAGCATATCCCTTGTGGACGCTTCCATAGGTGCGCCATCTTACACCGATATACCCTCCAACCTCCCTCCGAACCTGCTTCCCCTGTTCGCCACCCCTAACTACACTCCAGAGTTTCCATTGAAAGCCTTGATCTGAACTTGCCCCACCGAGACCTCATAACGCTCATCCAGAAAACGACGTCTTCCGTGCAGGCCCCCGCGCACGTCGTCTCTCATAGTTCACCCTCCTCATCATGTTCGTTCTCCTCCCAAGCACCTCCGAATTCCCATCATCCCTCCCCGCACCTACTCCCAGTTCAAAGTCTCCCTCTTCAAGCTCCCTCTTCCCTTACAAGCTTCTCTTATTATGCCACTATTGTGGTACAGCCTACAAGCCTCGCCCTCGTCTCTGTCCACCTGGGCCTGCTTCGAAGCCCTCTTCGAACCTCCCCGGCTCTAACCCTCGAAGCTTGGCGTCAAATCATCCATGTGTCAATACTCGTGTGCGACCCTCGTGCCCTCGCCGTCCGTCCGCCCCGTGCTTCCTCCTAGCTTGTCTCTCCTCCTCCCCCTCCCCCTCCGTTTCCCCCCGTCCTCCTCCTCTTCCTCCTCCTCCTCCTCCTCCTCCTCCTCCTCTTCCTCCTCCCCCTCCTCCTCCTTCTCATCCTCCGCCTCCTCCTCCTCCTCCTCCTCCTCCTCCTCATCCTCATCCTTCCCTTCGCAATCCTCCTCGTGCTTGCGTGTACGTTGCTTCTTCCCCCCCCCCGAATCAGATTCATCATCCTTGCCCTGCTCCACCTGATGCCGCTCTGCCTCCTCCTCCCTCCTCGCTCATCGTCGCTCGCTTCTCCCCCGTCGTCTTCCACGGCGTCCCTTTCTTCCCCAGGTCCGGCTTCTGTTCCCGCTCCTTTTGTTCGTTGTTTACTCCTTCGCGTGCTCATTTCCGTTGTCATCCTCACCGCCCTGCTCAACGGCCCCCTTCGTGAGCCCAAGCGAGAATGCAGAACATGCTCGGCTCGATTTGGTTACGGTCTGGTTACGATTTGGTTACGAATTGGTCACGTTGTGATGACGATTGATGTGTTTTAGTTTAGATGTGGTTTCGAACATTGTAAATGTAGATACGAGCTGATTACTCGAAAGATCTTCCCGAGAAGATGTCGGTCACGGAGATGTTCAATGCGATGTGATATCTCAAATGCGTGGGCGGTCGATCGTAACCATATGATTATCATTTAAGTTACGCGCAACAGTTTCGTGCGTAAGCCCTATGGTTCGGTTGCGTTGACTAGGGCCGCTGACCTCCTCCTGATCCTCCTCCTTCTCATCGCATGGCTTCTCTTCCTTGTTTCCCCTCCTCCTCCCCCTCCTCCTCCTCCTCCTCCTCCTCGTCCTCCTCCTCCTCCTCCTCCTCCTCATCCTCTCCCTCCAGCTCCCACGAGCTCCCACGAGCTCCTCTTCTTCCTCCCCCTCCCCCTTCTCCTCCTCCCCTCCTCCTCCTCCTCCTCCTCCTCCTCCTCCCTCGTCCTCCTCGTCCTCCTCCTCCTCATCCTCCTCCCCCTCCTCATCCTCATCCTCCTCCCTCCACCGCCCTTGACCGACCGTCTCATGTCCCAAGCCCGTGGCAGGGTCATTAGCTCGTCGTCGTCGTTGTCGTCGTGGTGGTCGTCGTCGCCGTCCTTCTGGGTCGGCGGCGCTGGCCGTAAGGCCGTCTCTCTCTCTCTCTCTCTCTCTCTATTTCTGTCTTTCTCTATCGCAGGCTGGGGGTTTGGAAAGGAAGCGACCCCAACCGGGAAATCCGGTTCGGTGTCGGTGCATGTCTTGCGCGCGGGCGAGGCGAAGCTGCGCGAGTTCGATCCATAGTAGAGGCCATCTATTGCCAGAGGGGCCGCCCCCCGAGCGCCAGGCGTGGCCCCCGGTTGTCCCGGCGGTTGTCCCGATGGTTGCTGTTGTCCCGAAAGTTGTCCCGATGGCTGTCTCGATGGTTGTTCCGATGGTTGTCCCGGTTGCTGCCCCGATGGTGTATATATATATATATATGTAGACAGGTAAATAAATAGATGTTGGCATGTTGTGTTTAGATGTTGTCCCGATTGCTGTCCCGATGGTGCTAGATAGATAGATCGATATATATATAGAGATATATAGAGATATGATGATAGAGATAGTTGTTTATATCTGTAGCGGACAAGAGAGATAGACCGAGAATTAGGCAGATGCATACATGTATATATATATATATGTATGCATATATATACTATAGAATGGCAGAGAGAACGATATACATATATAGATATACACAAATATGAATACATACAGCTATTGAGGTATGAATTGTTTTATAGATTGGTGGGCTGATATATTATTCTTCTGAAGCGATAGCCAGATACATCTGTCGAGCTATAGATGAGCAAATGTGCGTGACAGCAATAAACCCAGAGCCATCGCCAGTAGGGTGGTCCTATCGGCATATAGATATACACAACCGAAATGTAAGCACATGTGTATGAGAGAAAGGGAGAGAAACAAACTATATATATATATATATATAACATGTCGGGGGGCGAGAGGAATCCAGGATGAGACGGGAACGACGGAGGAGGATAATCGGCGAGGAATGGTCCAAGGAGTGGGGCGAGAACAGATTCAAGACAGGACCGGGAAGCGGCGACGACGACGGGCGGAGGACGAGGGACAAGGACAAGGCACGGAGAGGACCAGAGATGGAAGAGCTGGGGTTACCTGGGACAGTGCCGGCAGCAGGTATCGCGCGACGCATCCAGCCTTGCGAGGAGGAGCCTGCGACAGAGTGGCCAGCCAGCGGGGACAACCACGACTGGAGAGCAGCGCGCCGCAGGGTGTGCAGCCAACGGGGACAGTCATGAGTACACGCCGGTCGTGATTCCCAGATCCCAATCTAACCAAGCGCCCTCCTACGTCAGGAGCCAATCTGGTTTGATTTCGCTTTGTTATTCTTTGGGGGCCGAACCCAGTTTACTTCATCTGCCTTGCTACTCCATGTTTCTACCTACTGCTTCCTACCGACAGGTGCGCAAAAATCCCAGACATACGACGTCTCGATTTTTTCCAGGGGCCCCCGACCTCCCGACCACTTCCCCGGGACCGGTTTTGCATCCCGAGCCGTTCTGTTGCCGGCCCCGAGGCCCGGCGAGAGCCCCGAGAGGCCGAATCCGACGCAACACCTCCGTCTCGACGGTTGCTTGCGAGACGCCCGATGTCTGGGGTGGTTCTGCCCCTGGCGGAGCGCATCGGTATCTCACGGCGGCCTCTGGCCGCCGCCCAGGCCCGGGCGGCGGAGGAGGCGCTGCGGGCGCAGCTCGGCGAGCTGGAGGCCGAGAGGGCGGTGCTGCAGCAGCAGGCCGCCGCCCTGTCCGAGGCCCCCTCGTCTCGCTGGAGGAGCGGGAGGAGGAGCAGGACCTCATAGAAGCTCCTGGGAGCTGGACGAGGAGGAGGAGGAGGAGGAGGAGGAGGAGGAGGAGGAGGAGGAGAAGGAAGAGGAGAACAGGAGGAGGAGGGCGAGGAGGAGGAGGACGAGGAAGAGGAGGAGGAGGAGGAGGAGGAGGAGGAGGAGGAGGAGGAGTCAGAAGGAGCAGAAGGAACAGAAGGAACAGGAGGGGAAAAGGAGCAGGAGGAGGAACGGGAGGAGGAGGGGGGAAAGGGAAGAAGAGAAGGAGTGGTGTTATGGTCGGCGAGCTCCCTCCAGGAGGAGATCACCAGAAAATAATAAAAGATCTCCCAAAGATATCCCCGCAGAGGTTTTGAAATGTTATCGTTTTTTTGGTTTTTTTCACAAAAATCTTATAGCGCGCAGTTCCTTGATACCCCTTTGGAATTCGCGGCCGAAAGGATCGGAACGCCCGTCACACATTGCGCGCAAGCGTAAACCGCTTCACAACCCTGGCGCGTTGTCCTGCGAATATAGCCCGCCCCCGCCATTTCCTGTTCCGACCTAACCCCTTCAGCCCGCCAGCCCGCCTTCTTGTCTTGACCCGAGTTCATCAATATTTCATGTGTTTCCTTACAGCGTACCCTTGACACCCACCCACCCGTTGAGTGAGGCACTCTGTTGCTCGTACGATGTGCGCCGTGCCCACAGCGTGCCAAACCGTCGATGTCATTTTCGTGCGCTCGCCTGCGGGCCCTCGAAGCCATATGTGCGGGCGAGACTGCCTTGCCACATCGTTATGCTAAAAACAGCAACGCGAGGTGGCACAGTGCGCGATTGTCCCCGTTGGTTTAAGGAAGACTGAATGTGCCAGATTTTGATCGGACTTTCTGGGTCGAGACTCCTGCCCCCCATCAGGACGCAGGTGGTTTAGAGCGAGTGTTCTTGACATGCCTCTGTCTCCCTTCGGGGAGGGGGGTGCAAGCTCCCACCCGCACTCCCACACATCTTTCGTACTGTCTTGAAGGGCCTCGGCGGGTGCGTTCGGGGCCCATCGGGGAGGGGCGCGCTGGGACAATGCGGTCCTGATAAGGCCCCAGACAGCTAGCATGAGCTCAAATATTAAGAGCGCACGTGAGTATTGTCCAAAGAAGTGCTTGCTGACCAAGCCCAGCGCCCCCCCCGAAAGAAGCGCATGATGACCACGATGATCCACCCACTGTGTACCCGAGAGGCCGAAGTTCTTGTTAAACTCCAGGGGCAACCTACTGCGGCTTGAATTCTACCAAATTTATTTCCCATGTCACCCCGAAACTCCAAAGAGGTTCCGCAAGGGCCCGATATAGCACCAAGATAAGCCAAGATGATACCAATACGGCCTCATGATCGCCCGAGGGCGCCCCAAGATCGCCCCAAGAGACGGCCATGGGTCCAGTTTGGTGACCCCCAGGTTGGCAATGTTAATCAGGACGCGCGCACGTGCCAGTTTGTTGGTAGATCTTCCCGCGGGAGGCATGACGACGCCCGAAGGCCACCTAGCAGCGGACCCCGCGCCCCCTCCCCCGAGAGGCCCAACTGATGACCACTGGAGGCACCAAGAGGCCCAACTGGGACACCCAAGACGGTCCAAGAGACCCTCGGGTGGCACCAGCTCTTCTCAGTATATTTGTCATGCGCACTCATGCCGCCATCTTGCGGTGAAGAATCAATCATCCTGTCTGGCACGGCGGCTTCGCCAGCCTTGCAGTCATCTGCAGGCACCCCGCGCCCGTGACCAAGACAAGCCACCTGGGCATCGTCACTGGGTAGGCTGGTGGGGGGATCGCGGGGATTCTCTTCCACATGGTGGGCTGTGGGGGTGGTGCCGCTGGGCGTTGGTTACACGCGAAGCGCGTCTAAGATGATCGCAACTTGACCCATACAACTCGCATCAACAAGCACGCCAAGGATAAACAACTCACATTACGGGTTGAACTCTGGCAGCAGTTGAGCGGTAGCCTCTCTACCCCTGGCAATTGACAACGGCAAATGAGACTGACACCAACGGTTTTTCAACCACCACGGAGAGCCGCTGCAGCTCTCCGCTCTCGGGCCGACGAGGGCGCAGCACGCGCGACGGCGTGACGCACTGAAACATGGCATGCCACTCTGCCGTGGCAGCGAGAATCTTGGCTCAGCCCATGGTCTGCAACTTCATCGCAGCCTGCATCCTCTTCACCAGCATCTCTGGCAAGCTGTTCTTCTCGATGCCCCACTTGGCGTGGGCGTTGATCTCATTCTTCGTGATGGAACGCAGTACGGGCTTGTCCGTCTCCTGCGACAAGTAGGCCTCCATGAGTCTCTGGGCGGATAGAGTGATGCGAGCCGCCTCGATCGAACTCGCCATCGCGTTCCACTTCGGGTCCTCGGAGTCACTGCCGAAGACGTTGACGCCCTCGGCGTGCTTCTCCAGCTCGATCTCGGCCGCCCGAAGCAACCTCGTGGTCTCTGCGACGTCGCACTTCATCAAGGACTTCTGGCACGAGGTCACGAAAGCGTTCCATCCGTCAGCCTGGGGTGGCAAACTCTGAATCCACGACTCTTCTGTTTCGTCCATCTTTGCTGCGGCACAGGACCCAAGGTTGGCGATCAACGTCGCCGCGCTATCTTTGAGCGCAGAGAAGTACGAGCTCCCCGCGTCAACCAACACGCGGCATGCAAGCCCCGCGAACTTATCACACCACTCGGCCGACTCCGCACTGATCGATGCCAACGCCTTCAGCGACCCCTGCAGGCCCCTGGCGTTACGAGACAAGCGGAGGGCTGTGTTCAACTCCAGGGCTTCGGATGCCACGAGGTGCGACTCGTTGTCGGGGTTGGGCCTCACCTGCTTCATCAGGTCGACGGTGAACGTGAGAGATGATGAAAGCTTCGCCAGCACCTGAGCTCTGTCGCCACCACCCTTGACTGTCGAGATCGCGCGAGTGACCTCAGCGGCGCGCTCGCAGAGCCCGAGCATGCGGTATGCGTCGATCAACGAGCGCTTCCCAAACTCATGGAATATTGTGGTCACCGTCTCAATCATGTGATCCGTCCCATCGAACTCGCCACCATCAAGCAATCCCGCCTTCTGACGCAGGATGGCAGCCAATTCATCCAGCAACGGCAACGACTGCATGACGTCCTCGCTGATTTTGCGGACCTTCTCCGAAACTGCAGCCGTGAGATCCAACCAGCCATCTGGCCGTCGGTGTAGGGAGGTTCCACTTTCACGCATCCATCTTCCACTTTGGGGGTGGTGGTGGTGGGGGTGGGGGAGGGTGGGCTTACCCCTCCCCCAACCCCCTCACCGTGGACCTGGGCAACGGGGTTCGCGATGCGCCATGGCGCCCAAGATGGCCCGATACGGCTCCAAGAGAGCTTCAGGAAGCCAAAGATAGTCTCCAAGATGGCCAAAGATATGCCTCAAGATGGCCTCGAACGCGCTCAAATACACTCCACGACCACCCCGAGACGGCTTCAAGTGTCAAACAGAGCTCCCCAAGGGTGCACCGAATGTGCCCAAATGCTTCAAACCACTTAAGGGGGATCCGTGTTTTTGGCGTTCTCTACATTCCGCTTCCAATGCCCAGCCGAGGCGTCAAGGTAGCTCCAAGATGGCCCAATGAAGACTCACGAGTGGCTTAGCAACGCCCTTGGACGGCGCCAAGAGCGCCCAATAGCCAATAGCGCTCCAAGAGCGGCCCGAGAGCGCTCCAAAAGGCGGCGCGGTGGCTCCCGAGGGGATGGGGGGGGGGGGTGTTCATTAATGCCCCCCCCCTTCTGTGATCGATGTCCTAATGACCCCAAGAGACGTGTTGGACCCTCCTCTTGGGCCCTGCGCGCGGGGCGGGCGGAGCGCCGCCCGCTCGCTCGCAGGGCCCAAGAGCCCACCAACACGCCTCAAGGGACACCCAAGGCGCCATCAGGAGGAAGAGGAGGAGGAGGAGGAGGAGGAGGCGGAGGAGGACGAGGACGAGGAGGAGGAGGAGGAGGAGGAGGATAACAGCTGGTGTGGGATTGGCTGGTGGGGCAACGCGAAGCGACAACGATTTGAATTCATTTTGGAATTCAGCATGTGCCCGCAGCCATCGATGTACGCGTCGTACTCTGGCGTCTCGGGGTACGTCCTCCAGCAGTTCTGGTAGAGCGTCTGCGCCGAGGTAAGGAAATCGGAGAAATTGTCGTCGTCCTTGGCACCCTTCGATGTCCTGACGAGCAGGTCGTAGAGAAGCTTCGTCTTTCGGTGGATCAGCTCGTCCAAGCCACCGCACACGAACTCGGGAAGCACCGCCGAGTACTGGTTGTTCCAGCCGAGCGCTCCATTCACACACGTGATGATCGCGTCGCAGGTGGTCTGCTCGCTCAGATCGGAGAGCGCCTTCATGTGCATTTGCAGCTGAGGCCCGCGAGTCATGCACTCATCGAAGTTCTTTGCCAGCATGTCCATCTTCTCGCTCAGGAACGGGTTCCTGTTCAGAGTGGTCCCAACATCGTGCAGCACCGATTGTACAACTGTCTTCTCAGCGGCCTTGTGCAACGCCATCGCGTCCTTCACGTACTCGAACTTCGTATCGACACCAACCTGGATGTTCACGATGGCACCGAATCCTCGAACCGAAACGTAGATCGAATCGCAAACTCCCATGACCTCGTTGGAGATCTCCGCATCATCTGGCAAGTCCAAGAACTCCATCAACTTCGCGAAGGCCGCCATGGTGCTGTTGACGTTTGCCTCCGTCGTAGTCGTGATGATGTGACACAAGAACTTTTTGATGAGATACTCCTTCAGAACCCCAGCCTGCAGGCTTCCAGGAAGGATTGGCGCCATCGGGTGGACCTTCGGATGCAGGACGTCGAAAATAGCCAGGCCAGATGCCTCACTGGGCGCATGCTGATCGCCCTTGAGTGGCCAAGGGGTAACGCAAGACACGAGATCCTTCATGTCAGACTCACGGATGCACATGCTCGAAGTCGCCGCTTGAGAAAGCTCGACGGCCCTCTTCTCCACGAGAGCCAGGAAAACCTTTCCAGGAGGACTGACGTCGACCAAGATGAGGTCCGAAAATGCATCCCGAATTGTTGGCCAGCTCGTCTGTGGCACCTCCTTCGGGCTGAGCTTATTGAAGATCGTCACTCGCTTCATGTGCTTCCTCAACGCGTCGGTCGTCGTATCATCCCTGAACTTCAACTCGTACCTATTAGCGCACTCCGCAGCATGGTGCATATCTCGCCTGTCCGTGGTGCCGCCCAGCGCGTTCTCGAAAGTGAGCTTCTTGATCCAGTAGGTGGGGTTCTTGGATGCCCTGGTAGCCCCAGACTTGCCAACAATGCCACGAGCGGTGTCGGCAGTAGTAGTCGCGGCTGACCCACTGGCCACGGATGCAGAATCAGGCACGTCGTGCTCGTCGTCAACATCGGCGTCGGATTTGGCCTGGGTGACATCGAGAAACACAGTCATGTCTGCCTTCTTGGTGCCGTCAAAGAAGATCTGCACTAGCACTGATTTTTGCGGCGCTGGTGCGGGGTGCCCCCCGCCATCAGAGGCACCGCCCGATCTGCGGCTCCTCGGAGGAGACGGCGAAGGCCGAGGCGACCCCTGATGCCCGCTCTCATTCTTGACCCTGGGGCTGGCAGATGGGGGCAACATCGAACCTGCCGCTGGCGATCGACCTGCACCTCCACCGCAGCCACTGGCTCCATCACCTGGATCATCACCATCATCATCGCCAGGAGCATCGGCACCGTCTCGGCTGCCAGTGCGGCGCGCAGCCCTGAGCGCATCATTCTTTGCCCCGCGATCCCTGATCTCTGCCCAAGATATCGTACTGTTCTCCAAGAAGTCGCAGATGGCGTCGCTGTGAACGCCGATCGTGTCGTACTTACGGGCGTGGGCGATAGCTGAGTTCGCCAAGCCTTGGACGAGCTGCTCCGTCAGCGGCATGGTCACCCGCCTGCTGTCAACCCTGGCTTGAATGGACACCTTCGCGCGCATCTCGGACCGCCCGTCGGAAAAGATATAGCCAGAATGCTCCGTGCCGTCAAGGGCCGTCAACTCGATGGGCTCGCCGATCTTCAGTTGCTTCGCGGTGCTGTTGCAGGTCTCCTTCCTGATCCTGTTGCTGGGGATCCACACGCCATCGCGGTAAATCTCGATGACAACAGAGCTGGAATCCGACACTTCCATTGGCGTCATGGCAGCTGCGCACGCCTGAGTGTCTGGGTAATTCTTGATGGCGAGGTCGACGTTTTGCTTGTGCTCCGCGTCCGAGGCGTACATGGCAGCGTACTCGGCAAAGGTGATGAAGCGCTTGGCTGGGAGCCAGATGGTGTAGCACCGAAGGCACGCAGACTCTGACGCATCAGATTTGGTCGGGAACGTCGAATCCTTCTCGTTGGCCTTGCAAATCAAACACACTCTGACACCACCACTGCGTGAAGCCGCAGCCGAGGCGCGCTCCTGCGCAGCAGAGGCTCCAACCTTCTGTCTCTTAGGCGCTTGATCTGTGTCGCCAGCGATGCCCTTTTTGCCCATCACTGCTCTCACGGGCGGTGGAGACTGCGCAGGAACACCTTCGCGAATGCGAAAAGCAGCTATAAGAACACAGGCTTTGAGCCAAAATGGCTGTGACCAGCTGTGGCGGGGGGGATGCGTGGGTGGCATTGAAGCGCCTGGGGTGCATCCGAACGGATCTTGGCCGCGCCCAAGATTGAACAACATCGATGCCCGAAGACATCCTTGCGTTCAAACATTGCTGTAGGGATTCCGCAAGGCGCGTTGCGAAATCAAGAATTATCCTGGCGAATGACCAAACCATATGCAGGTGTGATTGCCGCTGTTTCCAACACCTGCCTGGCTGGCGCTCCCTTTTGGGCAATGCAACGTGGGGGGGCGCGTGCACGAAGGGCACGTGGGCGGTGCTACTGGGCCCATTTGGGGGCCCCCCTAGCGGCACCGAAACGAGCGAGCCAACGGCGTGCCGAAGTGTGCTTCAATGGCCCGCGCGGGCCCAGCTCGACAACCCGCCTTCCAATTTTCCAATCACCCCTCCCCCATCCCCCTCACCATGCGCGACACGTGCGAGGAACGCCCGTCTGAGCACTGGGGCGATGGTACTGCGGCCGTCGGTGGAGCTCTCCATGGGGCCACGAAACGCGCGAGGGGTGTGCCGCAAAAAGCGTGGATAACGCATGCAGGCGGTGGAAGGAGGACGTGAAAAACTAACTCTTGGACGGCGGTTGTGATAAGGGCGGCGTAATGAGGATGAAGCGGAGGAGCAAAGTTAAAAACTAACCCTGAGATGAGGTGGCATCCTTTGTGGGCGACTGCGGTGGCGCCGCAACGTTGTGCAATTTAAGTTGTTGCGAAACTTATAGCAGCAAAGCTATACAAAGCAGGTTGCAGAGAACACGAGGAAGAGGGGAAGGAGGAGGGCTCTGAAAGACAAGGCAATAAAACGCTGGCGTGGTCCAGGCCCTCCCCCCCCCCCCCCCCCCCCCCAGACTCCTGACCTGGAAGCCCCAGACCGCTGACATCTCCTCTCAGGCTCCTCCTGGGGCCAACCCAGCGACTCGTGGGGTGGTGGGTGGGCCCGTGGGTGGTCTTTCGGGAGGGCGGGTGGGCCCGTGGGTAGCCTTTCGTGACTGGTGGCTTGTGGGTGGTCTTTCGTGGCTGGTGGTGGGCCAGTGGTTGCTGGGTGGTCTTTCGTGACTGGTGGGTTGTGGGTGGGTGGTGGGCGGGTGGTCGGTTGGTGGGTGGGTGCGTTGGGTGGTGCGTGGTGGGTGGGCTGGCGATGAGTTGTCTTTCGTGGCTGGTGGGTGGTGGGGGGTATTTCGTGGCTGGTGGGTGGTGGGTGAGCCCGTGGGCGGTCTTTCGTGGCTGGTGGGTGTGCCCGTGATGATGGTCTTGCGTGGCTGGTGGCTGGCGGGTTGTCTTTCGTGGCTGCGCTATACATGCGTGCGTATACATGCACAAACGCACGCACGCGTGTATGTGAATATGTATAGATACATCTCTCTATGGGACCAGGACCCCTACGAGTTACCCGCAACGGCGCCTGCGCGTGTCACGAAATTGTCCAACTTACGTTGGTTCGCACATGCGCCACACACGCGTGTGTATATATATATATATATATATACATAAACACACGCGCGTATGTATGTGTATGAATATATACATCTATATATGACACCAGGGCCTTACGAATTATCAGTAACGGCGCGCGCGTGTCTCACGAAATTCTACAACTTTCGGTGGCTTGCGTAAGCGTTATACACGCGTGCGCACACATGTATAAACACGCACGTGTGTATGTGTATATGCATGTATACATCTATCTGTGGGACCAGGGCCCTACGAGTTATCAGTAATGGCGCGCTCGTGTGGCACGAACTTGTCAAATGTTTACTCTGGCTTGCGCACGCGCTATACACGCGCGTGTGTATATATATACACACAAACAAACGCGCGTATGTATGTGTATGCATATATATATATATATATATATATATATATGCACCTATATATGACACCAGAGCCCTGCGAGTTACCAAAAATGACGCGCGCGCGTGTCACGAAATTGTTCAACTTACGTTGGTTCGCGCATGCGTTATACACGCGTGTGTCTACATGTATGAAACACGCGCGTATGTATGTGTATATATACACATCAATTCTTCGGACCAGGGCCTTACGAGTTACCAGTAACGGCGCGTGCGTGCGTAACGAAATTGTCCAACTTACGCTGGTTCGCGCATGCGCCACACACGCGTGTGTATACATACCTAAACACACGCGCGTATGTATGTGAATATGTATACATACATCTGTCTATGGGACCAGGGCCTTACGAGTTACCAGTGACGGCGCGTGCGCGTGTCACGACATTGTCCAACTATCGTTGGCTTGCGCACGCGCTATACTATACACGCGTGTGTCTACGCACATAAACACACGCACGCATGTATGTGTGTATATAGGTACATCTATCTATGGGACCATGGCCGTACGAGTTACAGGTAACGGCGCGCGCGTGTGTCACGAAATCCCACCAGCCCTCTGGGCGTCGGTGGTCTAGAGCGCGTCCTCTTCCACCCCTCCTTCTTCTCCTTCGGGGAGGGTTTTACCCCTCCCCCTACACCCTCCCCACTGACCTGGACAGGGGGGTTCGCGAGGTGTCGGAGCGTCCAAGATCGACTCCTGGGAGGATCAAATTCAACACCTCTCACGAGGATCGCGGCTCCTGATGGAGGGGGGGGGGGGGCTAATTGAGGGACCCCCATTCGTTGACCGATCTCCTCCAAGATGGCTCCAAGAGACGTCTTGGACCCCCTCTTGGGCCCTGCGCGCGAGCGGACGGAGCGCCGCCCGACCGCTCGCAAGGCCCAAGAGCCCGCCAAGGCATTCGATGATACCTGTGTTTGGCAAAATCTGTCGGGGTAAATCCACGGCGGTCCCCTATCTTGGCAAAGTCAGTCGGGGCAAATCCGCGGCGGCCCCCTATCTTGGCAGCATCTGTAGGGTTGGATTCGCGGCGGCTCCCTATCTTGGCAAAACCTGTCGGGGCAAATCCGCGGCGGCCCCTTGCGTTTGACAAAATCTGTCGGTGCAAATCCGCGGCGACCTCCATCTTGGCAAAATCTGTCGGGGCCATTCGCGGCTCGCAGAGCATAAGCCTAAGGTAAACCCACAGCGACCTGAGATAAACCCGCGGGGGGGCCTAAGATAAACCCGCAGGGGCCTAAGATAAACCCGCGGGGTGCTTAAGATAAACCAGCAGGGGCTTAAGATAAACCCACAGGGTGCCTCAGATAAACTCGCGGGTGGCCTAAGATAAACGCGCGGCGTACCTAATATAAACCCGCGAGTGGCCTACGAGAAACCCGCGGTGGCCCAGGATAAAACCGCAGGGGGCAAAGACAAACCCGCAGGGGCCTAAGATAAACCCGCGAGGGGCCTAAGATAAATCTGCGGTGGCCTAAGATAAACCCGCGGGGCGCCTAAGATAAACCCGCGGGGCGGCTAAGATAAACCCGCAGGGGCCGAAGATAAACCAACAGGGGCCTGAGATAAACCCGCAGCGAGCCTAAGATAAACCCGCGGCGAGCCTAAGATAAACCCGAGGGGGGCCAAGATAAATCAGCGGGGGGCCTAAGATAAACCCGTGGGGGTGGGGGGTGGGGGGGGGGGGGGCTAAGATAAACCCGCTGTGGCCTAAGATAAACCCGTGGGGTGCCTAAGATAAACCCGCGGGTGGCCCCCCAGGCGGGGTTGCTCCCAGGTGAAGCGGCGGCCCGCGGTGGGCTTGAGAGAAACCTGCAGGGCCTAAGATAAACCCACAGAGTCCTCAGATAAACCCGCGGGTGGCCTAAAATAAATCCGCGGTGGGGCTGAGATAAACCCGCGGTGGGAGGCATATAAACCCGCGAGAGGGCTCAAGACAAACCCGCTGTGGCCTAAGATAAACCCACAGGGGCCGAAGATCAACCATCGGATGACCTAAGGCAAACCCGCGGCGTGGCCAAAGATACACCCGCGGTGGCCCCACGATGAACCCGCGAAGGGCCGAATATAAACCAGCAGGGGCGTTCAGATAAACCCACAGGGGCCTACGATAAAACCGCGAGTGGCCTAAGATAAACCCGCGGGGTGCCTAAGATAATCCCGCGGGGGGGCCTGCGATGCGCCCGAGGGGGGGCGGGGGGCGGGGGGTGTGGGTGAGCAAGATAAACCCGCAGGGGCCTAAGATAAACCCACGGGGGCCTAAGATAAACCCGCGGGGTGCGTGTAAGATAAACTCGCGGCGGGCTAAGGTAAACCCACAGGGGCCTAGGATAAACCCGCAGTTGGGCTAAGATTAACCAGCGGGGGGGAGGGGGTAAGATAAACCCGCGGCGTGCTAAGATAAACCAGCGGGTGGCCTAAGATAAACCCGCGGGTGGCCTAATATAAACGCGCGGTGTGCCTAAGATAAACCCGCGGGGAGAGGAAGGTGCCTAAGATAAACCTGCAGGGGCTTAAGGCAAACCCACAGAGGTCTAAGATAATCCCATCCGCAGAGCCCTATGAGCCCTATGAGCCCAATTGGCCCAATGAGCCCAATGAGCCAGAGCAGCCCTAGGAGCCCTAGGAGCCCTAGGAGCCCAAATGAGCCAAATGAGCCCTAGGAGCCCAGGGAGCCCCATGAGCCCCATGAGCCCTATGAGCCCTATGAGCCCTATGAGGCCCATGGGCCCGATGAGCCCAATGGGCTCAATGAGCCCTATGAGCCTTATGAGCTCTATGAGCCCCATGAGCCCCATGAGCCCCATGAGCCTCCTTGGGCCCCTTGGGCCCACCAGAGGTGCCCAAGAAGGACCCAAGGCGACAACAGCAAAAGCACAACAAAGGCACAAGAGGGCTTGGAGAGGAAGGCATTCCTCGTGGCTTTTTTTTGCGCTTTTTATCGGACATCGTCCTCCTCCTCCTGAGGCCTCTCTTCCTCCTCCTGAGACTCGTGATACTTGTCATTGGTACCCCCTGCCTCAGACTGA